CAGGTCACTCCTGATGGTCATTGCGTCTCGATTGAGAGCGATGACGGCGAGTGGGACATCCCGAGGGCCCACAAGAAGAAGAAAGGAAAAAACATCCGGCCAGCGACCTCCCGAAACTCCGCCTTCGAAAGGCTGGGGGATAGGGAGGAAGGCCAGAGGAAGTCAGCCAAGCAGAGGCTGGGGCAGAGTGTTGCCCATGTCAGCGCATTCGCCCGGCTAGGCGAGGTGCGGGAGGCCGAGCCTGCCCGCACCCGGCGCTCCCGGTCTAACCGGCAGGAGCCAGCGAGGACGAGGGCCTCCCACCAGGAAGGGGAGGCAGAAAGCCAGCCCAGGTTACCGGTGGCGAACCGGTTAACCATCCCAAACGACCGCGTCCAGCAGATGGAGGCAAAGCTGGAAAGGCTGGAAAAGAAGGTCGGGGAGAAGAATGACCGGGACAAACCCCTGGCAGGGTCCCCGTTCACCACAAGGGTCCATCTGACACCTTTCCCGCGAAAGGTCAAGATCGACGCCCCTAGATTCACCGGGAAGGAAGATCCGGAGATCCACCTGGACTCCTTCAACCAGAGTGCGACCATGAACGATTGCACCGATGAAGAAAAGTGCCTACTTTTCTTCCAGACCTTGCGGAACCGAGCCACTGAATGGTTCAATAAGCTTCGCCCGGGAAGCATTGACTCGTTTAGTGATTTGGCCTCAAAATTCAAGGCCAAGTTCCAGGAGAATTGTACTAAGAGGAAGAAGTTCACCTATCTTAGTACAACCGGGCAGAGGGAGTCTGAGAACCTCACTCAGTTCCTTACCCGGTGGAAGGAAGAGGTAGACAAGGTGGAAGAGATGGATGACAAGACCGTCCTCTCCCTCCTCTCTAATGGCTTGCGTGCTGGGGAACTATACAAGGAGTTCTGCCGGAAACCCCCAGCCACGTACCAAGAGGCCTACCATACTGCATGGGAGTTTGCTGAAGCTGAAACCCAGCTCCGGGCAAAGAGAGAAGCTGAACATGGTCACAAGCCCAAGCCGGTGCAAGTCAAGAAGGAAGAAGCACCGGGACCTAGCCGGCCGAGGCACCACTATGACCCGGTCATCCGAGTGGTCAATACAGAAGAATCCCAAGAAGTCCGGAAAGCACCGGTCATTCCTCCAGAAAACCCTACCGGTCAAGTAGGGCGGCAGTGGTCGGGCACCTATTGTTCGTACCACAGGTCTGATTCCCATAACACCTCCGAATGCAAGAGCGTTAAAGGGGTCATCCGGCAGATGATCGATAGTGGAGAGCTGGGCAAAGATTACTTGCAGAAAGCCCAGGAGAAGAGTCATCAGTGGGTTAGGCCAACTGCCCCAGGGAATGATCGAGACAATGACCGGCGGAGGAATAACCGGCCAAGGGAGCGGCAACCTGCCCCCGAAAAAGAACACATCGGCATGATCTTCGGCGGACCCGAGGGTGGTGATTCAGCCGCGCAGCGGAAGAACTGGGTCCGGAGCATTTACGCGGGAGAAGTAAGTGCTGAACCGCCCAGGCGTAAACATACTAGGAGGGAGCCAATCGTCTTTACTGACCGAGATCTCCCTCCTACCGGTGAAGATCACAATGATCCATTGGTCATCACCATGGACATTAATGGGGTAGATGTCGCCCGGGTACTTGTTGACACCGGCAGCAGTGTCAACATCTTATACCTGGAGACCTTCCAAAAACTCAGGTTGTGTCGAACACAACTTGAACCCCTCAAAACCCCTCTCTCAGGCTTCACGGGGGACACCGTTGAAGCTGAAGGATCCATAGTTCTACCGGTCGAACTAGGATCAGGTGAAAAGACCGTGTGGAAGAAGATGCGGTTCATAGTTGTGGACATCAAATGCGTCCACAACGCAATTCTAGGAAGGCCAGGCATCAATAAAGTCGGGGCGGTGATTTCCATGCCTCATCTATGCATGAAGTTCCACACTCCAGGTGGTGTGGGTGAGGTGAAGGGCGACCAGAGGAACGCCCGGGA